TATATATATATATATATATATATATATATATATACACAATTTATTTGTTTATATAAGCGTCTTCGGTTAGGCAGAGGAAGAATAAACTGTTCATAAAAGTTGTCAGTAACCTTGATTATTACTAGAAGTATATATATAGTAAAAAATTTTTATATGCATTAGACTACATGCAATTGAATGAATGAAGTAAAAACTACTATCAGTTGCAAAACGAGCTTTGTTCGATTTGAACAGCTTTCAAATTTTTTTCTCCACTGATTTATACAGTTCAGAATTTTGCCAGTTTGTTTGATAGCTGGCACAGCTGTTTATAGAGTTTTTAGGAAGGTACCTGGTGATTTCACTTCGGTAATTTAAATGACACCTAGCAAGTATCCTGTCAAGTTTCTGACTGTAGCATTTATTCAGCCCACCTTTATTGGTAATAATAACAGTTAAGAAGTTAGAAATAACTGTCTACAACGTAATTAGAAATTGTTTCAGTAGTAAAAGTCATTCGGTGTTCACTACAATTTTGAAGCGTAAAGCGGCAAATTAATCCTGAATCACCTATTAACTTTCTGCCCTTGAGAACATCAATCAAAAAAGTCAGCGGCTGTTATCATAGTGTATGACCCGCTTGATCAGGCATTAACTGAAATAGAAACATTAGAAATAATGTCCTAAACAAAAGCTCCAAAAAAGGTAAAGCTTCAATTAGGTACCTTAATTTTGTACCCATAGAATTTCAGTGACCAGTGAACTCGGGTGAGGCGGCTATAAGCAGTACCTCGGAACACTTTCAGCGAATTAATATCAATTAACTCAGAGATACCTATCTCGAAGCAAAGAAAAATGATATTTTTATTAGGTCTTTTTGACCCCTCTTCAATAATATACCGATCTCTAGCAACAATTGCGCTAATTTTAGAAACTCCAAGTTGTCAGTGATCATGCGATTTCGATAAGTAATAAGAATGGTAAAGACGGTCCAGACGAGCCTTCTGCTGCAGTTAATTGCCAAAATCAATATTTTCAGCAATTGCAAAACACTTACAAAATTTTACGGTTAATTTAAAAGTTGTGAGAGTTTCAGGCAAAAAAAAAAA